TGATATTAAATTTTCTCTTGGTATATTCTAGCAAGAGTTCTTTGTTTTTAAAAAGAGAATTTTGTATTTGTGCATTGTAACTATAGAAACAAAATAAAAATACTATGTATATTGCCTCTTATGATCTGACTAGTGTCTTGTTCATCATTGCCCTGCACAATCATTTACACCAGTGCAAAATAAGTGCAAAATGTATCCCCATGTTAATGGTAACATTTTACACCTCATTAGCAGTCAGGTCTGGTCTAAACTTGAAAGTTATACTAGTATAAATATTTCAGATACAGGTGTGAATTTTTACCAAAATAGTTATATTGGTACAAATCCTAGTATGGACTCAGTTAAACTGATATAAAGGTGCCTTATATCAGTATAGCTTTTTTTCCTTCCCATATGAAAATAAGGAGTAATGGTATAAGCACATTTATCTCAATATAACTGCGTTCACTTCACACACTTTAGCTACATCCATGTAGTTAGAGCTGTGCAGCTTTTGTGAGTAGATGAGCACGTAGTCTTCGAGAGAGACTAACTCAACTTGAACTTAGTGAGAGTTAAACTGGAAGGGAAACAGCATTAAGAACCTCAAAATTAGGAAGGGTCAGTGTTCAGATGGAAGATGCACATAAACAGGTTAACCAAATAGAATATCTGACAATAAAGGAAGATGAGAAAGGAAGTCAGCTAGAGTCCTTAAATTAAGAAATATAATTGTTTTGTAGCACTCACTTCTCTTGAGGGAAAGAAAGATGCAGTAGAGTTGTATCTTTTATAAATGGGAATTTAGAATGACTGGGAAATTTTTCGAAGTGAGTTTTGAAAAACGTATTAAAAAACATTTACAGTGACTGTTTAAGGGCTACATTTCTAAAAAGACCTGAAGTCTGCAGACAAAAATGCATGCGCATGCTTCCTTTCCGACAATAGGGTGTTCAAATTCTTTGCTCTAATTGTATACCCACATTTGTAGGCATAATTGTGTGTACATTTTTTCATGAGGACTTCTGTTTTGAAATTTTGGCCCTGTCACTCATCTACAATCACTTACATTACAGAAATACATATTTTGTTCTGTTTTGGATGATCGGGATTTATGAACAGTTTAAAAGTAAGTCAGGAAATCATAATTACTGTGTCACAGTTTCAGGAGCTAAGATATTTGAGTAACACAACCTGTTACTGTTAAAGCTGTGACAATCCTAGCTTGTGGCTCTGGAGCTGCAGGATCCTACAAGTGGCTCACTGTTCTGTTCACATATCTGGGACCCTGCAGCACTGTGAGTGGAATGCCCAGTCATGCGAGCATACACCTACATTATCAGACAAAACAGAAAGCACTAGGCAAATGGTCCTGGGGGGGGAGCTGCTGCATTTAATTTCTCAGCCTCCCTTCTCTGCCTCTTGCTTTATGAGACCCAGACACTGGCTATGTCAGTTTTTCACCAGAAGTTAAGAAGGGATGGATGGAATTCGAGGGGATGCAGATCTGATTTCATTAAACTGATGACGTGATGTTGTACTGAATGACAGTGTTATCAGCTATTGGTACTGGAGGACAGCATGTTGTGACTATTTTTGGGCTGTGATGCTCTAGCTTTTAAAGCTAGGTAATATTGACCTAGGGGGTTCTTTGCTACACAAAGACAGGAAATTGTTCAAGCTATTTTAAGTAAAGTTCAGAAAAGTACCATTCATCCTTTCATATTTCAGGTTAACTTTTTCAATATGTAATACATTTGCAAAGGAAAGCAACCTACTTTGTTTGCCACCTTTTAAGATTTATGCCAACAGTTCCACTGGTTGCAGTGCTACATCTCTCAACTCTCAGAACACATAGTTCTATGCTTCTAATGAGAAAAATGTGTTAGAGTATGCTAATTTCATTTGTTCTCAGTTTCTGCATTTTTATGGGTGCTTAAAGAATACTGAACACTACATTCTTCTGCATGGACAAACTAGACTGTTAGTCAACCCTGCCTAAAACAGACCTTCTCCAGATTGTTAGCTGCTACTACTAGTTAGCTAGTAAGAGCCTTTATATACACTTAAAATAAGAGAAAATACAGGGAATAAAAACGAGACTATGGGAAGAGTTGAGGAAAGGGTACATGGGCACTGAAGTCGTTATAAAAACTTTCTCTCCCCCCCTTAATTAATAAACCACTGCTGCTTTCCAGATTTTCTTCATTCTTGCCCTTAAAAAGTTTGATCTTCCCAACTTTAGTAATTGCCTCTTGCATAATACCCTTACGCTTAAATGACGACTGAAGGTCTAGTTTTCTGTGTGCGTGTGTAAAGAATTTTAAGGGCCACTTTGATTCCTCCTTCATTATGTTCTTTGGGAGATTCCTCCTCATCTTGCCACATAGCCCTGTCCTTGGTCCCCATCTCTTCTCCCCCCCCATCTTGTTTGTTTGTTAACCTCATCCGAAAACACGAATTCAACTACTATAGAGTACTTACAGATCTACCTACCTGCTCCAGACTTGTCAGCTTCTGTCCCAGCTAAAGTCTCAGCCTGTCTCTCTCTATCTTCTTTGGATGCGTAGCTATTAGCTTGAGCTCAATGTGGCTAAAACAGAGCTCTTAATCATTCCCCCCCCCGCAAGCCCTTCTTGGACAACACCACCATCCTGCCTGTCACTCAGGCTTGTAACGTGGGTGTTCTCTTCGACTGGGACTTCTCTCTAGGTCCTCACACCCAGCCGATGTCCAAGTCTTGCAGATTCTTTCTGCATAACATCTCTAAGATATGGCCTTTCCTGTCCATCCATGCAGCTAAAATTCTTGTCTGGGCTCCCATCATCTTGCACCTCAATTACTGCTACTTACTTTTCTCTGGCCTTGACAAATGCAATCTTGCCCCACTCGCATCTGTTCAGAATGCTTCTGCACTCTCACTTGGACTACATTACCTCTCTTGTTGCATCCCTCCACTGGTTCACTATTCTCTAGTGCATCAAAATTTGTCTTTGCATTCCAGGCCCTTCACAGCCTACCTATCCCCTCTCATTTAGTATTAAGAACTTGACTCCTGCTTACAATTGCCCATGATGACAGCCTCCATTGCCCACTTAAGTTTTCAAAGAAGCATCTTCATGTTTTCTCCTGTGCTGCCCCTCGTGTGGGATGAACGCCCTGCAAACATTTGCTAAGCCACTTCATTGTTCTCCTTCAAACCCGTCCTTAAACTCTTTGCCATGATGCCTACAAAAAACTTGGCAATGCTTAGGCCACTGGTGTTTTGAGACCACTAGGTATCAAACGGTTTCCTTGTAGTATTCATCTACTGTCTCTTTTATTCTGCTTTTGCTGACTTAGGCTCCTAGATGCTCTGATAATACAGATAATTAGTCATAATAATGGTTCATATAAATAATTCCTACTATCCTCAAAGGGTGTGTGTGTGTGGAAGGCAATATGATCTTGAGTAAATGGAGGAACCTAATGACTTCAGCAAAAACAACAAGGAGTCCTTGTGGCACCTTAGAGACTAACAAATTTATTTGGGTATAAGCTTATGCTAAATGTTAATCTCTAAGATTATGCCCAAATAAATTTGTTAGTCTCTAAGGTGCTACAAGGACTCCTCGTTGTTTTTGCTGATACAGACTAACACGGCTACCACGCTGAAACCTAATGACTTCACTGTCTGTGCCGTTATGTGCTCACCTAGCTTTTATCTGCTTTTTTTCCTGTTCATTTGCAGGAAATGTGAGGCAGGGAAAAAGTTGAAAGAAGAAATCAAGAAAATGAATTTGTTATTAGTGAAGTATAAAGAATCCCATAACTACAGATCTTTGCTGCTTTTTCATATTTTTCTCATAACAAGCAGGGCAAATTGCTCCAATTTACTTGTAAAAATTTTCTGGTTTACAGTAGACAACAGTAAAGGTAGATGTGAGGCACCTCTGTTAAAAGTTAGTAAGAGTCTGAGAAGATGGAAAAAATACAATATTGCAGTTTCAAGTTAAAGATTTAGATTGCAGAGTCATCTAGTTCTGTAATTTATACATTTTAATAACTGTCTTTATATCCAATGGAGCATGTTTAGTGATCATGTTAAAGGATTTCAGGCATGGAAAAGGCTTACCGTTACATAACACGTTGCCTTCTAACTTTACTTCACTTTGCAGCACAAAGAAAAGTGAGTTCTGTTGTCATTGCAGTTCCTGTGCTCATTTAAATTTTTACAAAATAACTTACATTTATATAGCACCTTTTATTTTAGAGATCCGCAAGTACAACACTAGGGGATGGTCTTGACCAATAACAGGGCAAGCTCCTCTTACAAAAGGAGCATGCACATCAGATAAGACTGTTCTACACAAACTGCACCGTATTGGTTTCACAGGGATGAAGGGTTTAGGTGACCATTTTGGGATTTGAACCTGTGGTGCCAGGGAGTCAAAATCTAACACTTAGACCTTTATGCTGTCTCCTCAGTCATTGTTTTGGAAAGAAGTTTAGAGGTAGATTAGTGGTGTTTTTTTAGTGCAAACATATTTAGGATAGGATTCGAATCTCTAACTTTGTCACAAAAATTAGACACAACACCAACCAAAAGGAAAAAATATCAAGCACATAATGAACAGAAGATCTATATAAAATGGCTTGTGGTAAAGAACTGATCTAATGGCATATTCAGCTCCATGTAATACCTTGTTTTGAGAGCAATCATGAGGTATAGTACTGAGTGTGTCTTCTTCCCTAAGTTTATTGTATCTAACTCCCATGCATCAAAGGGAAAAGAGAGCTTTAACTCCAGTGCTTTAACTGGTATGTTGACATTGCTAATCTGTTTTCTGTGAACATAATAATGCTCTTATATGGCTCTTTTTTTCTATCAGTAGATCTCAAAATGCTTTACAAAAGGAAGTAAGTATTATAACCAAGCATTTATTGTCAAAATATTCAGGTATTTTGAAAATGTCCTTCATGATGGAGTCTGTTCTTAAATACGAAAGTAAAATTTCTGAAAATCTCTCTCTCCAACACAATTAAATATGCGATGCATTTTATTGTACTGAAGTTATATGCACAAAATGGAATGTATCATTACAGGTATTATTGCAACTATTATGAATCTGGAAAAGAGATTGAACCAACAGTGTTTTGGATATGAATAAAATTAAATTACCAAACTTAGAGCCATACAGAATCCCAATGCCCCGACACTAGTGCTTAAATAAGCATAATATTTAAGAGTATCATCATTGATGTGATTAGGGAGTTCTTGAAGTGATAAAGGGGTTTATACACTTTCCCCACCATCTCATGACAAACAAAAATAAGCTTTTGACAGAAGAGAGAGAAATTAATGAAAATACATAGATTTTACAACTCCATCTGATGTACGCTTTAAATTTACAGCCGTGTATTCAAAGCCCAGGCATGCACAGGAAAGGAAATGCTGGTCTTTTTGAAAACAACAATCAGTATCCCTTTGCAGTGTTTACATACTCCTTAAAGGGTGCCATACATAACATTTCTCGAACATTAAAGTATACAATTAACATTTAGTAAGTATTCTCCATGTCAAAGGGAATAATTTTTTTTAATGGATCTTGATATATTGATGTAGGCAAACATTTTCAAACTTTGATGCCTAAAATCCGAAATCCATATTCAGGCACCATAAGTGACTGGATTTTTCAGAGCCTCCCATTGGTGTTAGTGGAGATGCCTGTTCTTGTCACCTTTTAAAATTTGGTCACTTTATTTAGGTGGCTAACATTTAGCTACTGGAGTCTGAATATTCTGACCCTATATTTAGCCTTACTGTCCAGCGGAATTTACTGGGCCTGATTCTCTGCTCTGTTACATCAGTCTTGCATCAGTGTAACATAGCGGAGAATAAAGACCTTTGAAACCAACAGGATCTATTTCTCATAAGTTAGCAAAGAACTGAAGTATTAATGGGAGAATAGGTCCCCAATATATATGATATGAGGCAAATCCCCTGGTCATCTGATTAGACTGGTCCATCAAGTTTGATATCTTATGTACTAATAATATTGTAGAATTAAAGCATTAACCTCTACTTTGTTCTCCTCTTGTTAATAGCTTTTGAAAATTTAACAGGTAGACTTGTGCTTCCTAGATCTATATTCCTTTGACAGATGCCAGAAATATGGTGACAAAAATTACAATCCTGGTCTTAAATGCAAAAGCTCTTTGTTTCATGTTTTAAATCAACTGTTTTTAATGCATTTTATGTACTGCAGCTTATTTACGTAGGTGCCTGACTTGAATGTTATTTTGTAACATTCAGTTTACAATTTGTTTTCTATAGGTGGTAAAGTATAGATTATATCAGTCAGTCATTTTGATGACTTTACTTTTTTTTTTTTTTGCCCAGCTACAAATATAAAATTGACAGAAAAGAGGAAGAGACTACCTGTGTGTACAAACATAAATCATGTAATGTTTGTGCTATTACTGATGGAAAATAAGACCGGTTTTCATGTGATTACTGAACATATATAAATACTCTTGCTGTATGATGTGGTACTACATTACATTTCAAAGAGGACCTTTTATATATTAAAATACAAAAATATGCTTTAAGGGATTAAAGAAAATAACTTAAACTCTGAGAAGCAAGAAAATTCATAGTTGGGACAGAAACTCCTTATGCCTTTGTATTGCAATAGTTAGGCCAGTTAGGCCAAATTCTGCCCTCAAAAGTTGGAAAAATCTTCTTGATTTTTCAATGGGATTTATATAGGCATGTGAAGGCAAACAGTTATTAAAGATGGGAGTTTCAGAACATTCTTGCTATATTGTGGATTCAAGTCATATCCTCAGTTACTTTAACAGTTTAGGTTTATTTTTGTTTACAGTAATTTTAAAATAAAAGAAATGAGGCACTGATACGGTATGGCTTATTTGTGTCAATGTACCGTATTTTTGTTTCTAAGGGTTTGACATCATGAATAACCTAATGCATCAAGGGAAAGAGTAATTTCTTTGATAACACCAACTGTTTGCCCATTGTGTCTAATGACAAACTGATATACCAAAAGTAAAACTATTGATTCAATGGAATAGCTTAGTTCTAATGGAGTTGAACCTTTATACGGTAAATGTTTTGCCATGTACTTACTGTACATGTAGAGTAGCTACTTAAAACATTTCTCTTTTAGCTGTATTAAGGACTTAATCCTGGAGTCTTGACTCAGAGAGAACTACCACTTCAATCAATGGGAATTTTGTCTGAGTGCAGGACTTGGTCCTAAAGGTAGTTTAAAGATAACTATTTTTTTTAGAACAACTTAAACCTGAAATCACCAAAAAATTAAAATTTCCCTCAAAAAATAAAGGGCCAAAGTTGATTTTCTTCAAATTTTGAAAAAGAAAAATATGCTCTTTGGCTAAAATCTTGTATACCAAATTCAAACCTGAAACACTTCTGCCCCCCATTGTTCTAAACGTCTGAAAATATGGTTTTACAATGGAATCTTCTAGTGACCCTTAACTACAGTGTCTTGAATGCAACATTAAAATAAATAAGATAGCGTAGTACAGATAAACATGCCTCCAAATCATATACCCGTTGTGCAATGAAACCGTAATTCTGAAGATGAAAGGAGAAGCTTATTTGAAACTATTAAATGATTTTTATATGCAGTTGAGGTTTTGGTTTCTTTCCAAGAGTTCCTTTACTAGTTTCTCTAGAGAGAAGAGATGCTCATCCACATCTTCTGGTACAAGATTCCTGATGGAATTGGCAAGTTCAAACAAGTATTCCGTGTTTCTTCCACTAGGACCAACTGCATTAAAAATCTGTTCAGCAATGTCTTCTAGGGGTGCTGGACCAAGGTAGTTAGGATTATCACAAGTTCCAATATATAACAACACATTAAATGGTTTTATTGAGGGATCTTTTGGATAGAAAATGACAGTTGTAGTCCTGTAGCCTCCTTTCTCTCTGAAGTCGAGGTATGCCTTTACTTCAACTTCTTGTCCTGCGGGCAATCTGTAAGCAACACCCCATACACAACCCTGTTGAAGAACACAACCAGAAAGGTAAATCTAAACACTGAAGGGATACTAGCAATAAACTTAATTTAAAACACATTTTTTTGGTAGAGCCCTTTCTACAAATAGTTTTCCCCCTTCGTCCTCTCCGTCCTTTATTTAAGAAAAGAGCTGAAATCAAAATGGTGGTTCTTGTTTAAGAACTCTCAGTTGACGTTAATTATGCCAAATTCTTTCTGCACCCTATTATGGATATTGGGCTTAGTTCTAGAAATAAAGGAAATTTGGTGCAATTTATTTCTGCTAATGTTGTCTAGTTGTTGCATCTGAATTTAGAGCACTAAACACTCAGGTTCATTTCTGTTAAATAATGTTTGCTAAAGCATCAGCAGAGCGCATACAAAATGAGTTTTCACAATCTCACACAAATAGATTAAAAATAAATTCCTTAGATGGAGAGGTAGATTTAAAAGTAATTTTCACTAGATTATTCCTTTTAGGTAGGTCAATCTTCATTTCTAAAACTTTGAATATTGCTTTATTCTGATACCTATATTTTAAAGGATTTGTGTTTTAATTTATATGTACCACCAGTGTGTAGAATTGAAAGAGAGAAGGCTATCTGAAAGTTTTGGCTTTATTTTCTGCTACTGGGGAAATTCTGCATCACTGTGCACGCACATAATTAATGAGCCACACATTTTTAATTTTTTGCACAGAAAAAAGCATCTGCTGAAAAGTTGCTGCAGTTCCGCCTTTTTCCCACGAGAGGGTGCTGTGGTGAGACTGCAGCAGCAGCTCCCAGCCAGTAGAGAAGAGAGAGAGCCTTCTTCACAGCACCTATAGGGCCAGGTCAGGAGACAGGGGCTATGGGGAGGCAGACAGTGTGGGGTGCTGGGGGGTCAGACAGGAACTCATAAGGGTTAGTCAGGGAGGACAGACTGGGGCAGGGGCTGAATGGGAGTAGAGGCACAGGGCCACATAGGGATGGGGTATCTGAGTAGGGCACAGATGCACATGGGGATAGGGTGTCTGGATGGAGGAGGAGGGACCTGTGTCTGATTGAAAGGGAGAGGCTAGGGTCTCCATGGGGGAAGCTCCCTAACAGTTGCCCCCCCCCCCCCAAAAAAAAACCAAAAAAACCAAATCCCCAACAACCCCAAACCTGTTCCATACTTCTCCCACCCACATCCAACAACCTTCCAAGTTCACATCCAGGCTCCTTCCCCACAATTATTTCCCTCTCCCTCAGCTCCTCCATTACCCCTGGCTCCCCCCAGCCTTTGCACTGCTTCTGCAGTGTGTGGGAAATATGGTTCTGTATTGTAGTTTAAATAAATTATTACTTAGAGTTCTGTATTAATATGCCTAGTAAAGAATCTATTTGTCAAAAAAACACTTCTGAATCTCTTTTGTCTGTATTGTTACAGACATATTTGCTGACAGGTATTTTGAAATAAATGACCAAAAATAATTGAAACTGGTGTGATTATATTGTTATTTTGACAAAAAAAATGCAGAATTTTGCAGAATTTGAAAATATTGTGTGCAGCATTTTTTAAAAATTTTTGGTGCAGAATTCCCCCAGGGGTACTTTCCTCAGAACTAAACCCTATAATATCAGAGCACCCAACAACACTGTTAGCAGAAATGGCATTAAAACATCTTAAGAATCTGGATGTTTAGCCATGTGTCAGAGCTAGGTGGGAATTTTCAGAGGAAATGTTTTTTGGTCAGAAAATACTGATACATTTTCACTAGAAGTTATGGTTTTAATGAATCTCTTTAAAAACCAAACAAAACCTGAAGGTTGCGCAGGTCCAGGGTGTAATTTCTGGTCAAAGACAGAAACCTGAGCCCAGAACAGCCAACAATTTCATGCTTAGGGCACTCACCTGGGATGTGGGAGACTCAAGTTCAAGTCCCTGGTTTGAATCAGGCAGAGTAGGGACTTGAACTTGGGTCTCCCTCATCCCAAGTGAGTGCACTAATTACTAGGCTCTTAGTTATTTTAGGGTGGTCTCCCTCTCTTTTTGCAAATTTTTTTTTGAAAGGCCTAGGATTTGTTCTAATGAGAAACAAAAACAAGTTTGAATCCTCAGTTCTTCACAAAACAGAATTCTTGTTTTCTGTCCCACCCTAATGGTTTGTCTTCAAAGCTACAATTCCCAGAACTTTAATTTTAGTTTGGCTTAGAGATGGTAATCTTTCCCTCCCTTATATATTTTCAAACAAGAAGAGAAATCCTAGTGACGTAGCCCAGTGAAATCTGTATACCTACAGTGACCATGCCACCAGTGCTTAGCAGTGATTTTTAGATGAGGCCTTAATTTTTTGTTACATTCCCTGTCCATCTGTCTTCTCCTGCAAGTTTCCAGTAGGCAGAAAAAAGAAATGGTGATTTCTAGGATACCCATTAAGGCAACTATATTGTTTCTTACTAGAAGGAAGTTACTTGTTTTTTAATTAATTCAGAAATAGCCTCAAATTTAACCTGCCCTTCATAGGACAATGCAAGAGCAATCCATTTGTTAACATGAAGTTGGTACAAATATCCTTGACATTGAATTGACTACAAAACAAAGTAATAAATTTATGTATCATTCTAAATTGGCCGCTGCTTTAAGCTATTTTGGGGGATTTCAGCCCCTAGAAGTTACTTATTTTTCAGTTGTTTGACCATATTGTGTACAACAAAATATTAAAAATACTTGAGTTAGAAAAAGCAACTACTACACATATGTGACAGTTACTTATCATAATGAACTGTGTTTTATTTCCTTCCCCTGGGACTGCATCTTGTTCAACCATGCAGTCCATGATGAACCAGAAGAAACTACTGTTTTCTGTTTTATCCCTTTCAGATGTAGTAGTTTTATCTTGGGCCAATACTACTTCAAATGGGTATGTCGGTACCAGTAACCCACACCTCTCCCCAGATTGTTTTCATATGTGGATAAGCTCTAAGAGTTTTTGGTTGCAAGAGAAGTTTCTGTTTGCTTCTGCATGCAAGTCTCCTCTTGAGCTGTGGGTTACCTCTACTGCTTATGCATACTGATGCTAAAACAATGAGAATAAGTCTTGTTGCAGAAACAAGGATGTTATACAACTGTTATGGGCAAAACAGTTCATGGGTTTGGTATTAGATTTAGAGGAGCATTGGTTCAGATGTCAAAAGGAGGAAGCAATATGACGGTTTCAAGGGAAGCATCCTAGCTCCTACCCCTGATTATTTTCCCTTTTTAAAATAATTTTCAATGAACTACAAAGGGAGAGAGTTAAAGCAGTTCTCCAAAACAGCATTTTCAAATTAAAGTTACCTCTTCACCTTTCATTCATTCTTGTTTCAGCCAGTTGAGCTCAATTTAATTATAAACAAACCAACTATTGAATCAGTTGATAGTCTCAAAATAACTTAAGGTTGTATCAAAATCAAGATTAAAAAAAAAATCTGATGGTTTGCTCTGGGACTCCTGCAATCACAAATAAGTTGGTTTAACAATACAAATACAGCAAGAACAAATATAACCATTCTTTGCTTATATGGGTGAGTGTGTGTATAACATAATGGTATCCAACAGTACTGTAGTGTGAAAAAAAACTTACCAGAAAGATACAGAAAGTCACATTGACAGACACTGTACTGCATTGTGCTTGTTTTGTCAGCTACAAAAACAGTTGAAGTTTATGATTACGGTTACATTTACCTCTATTCATTGCTACCATTTCAGGGAAATGTCAATGTTACAAGTATTTTGCCTTGCTGAATAATAATTAAAAGTACAGTGAATCTTCACTGTTATGTCAGGCATGAGCCCTGTTTAGACAAACTCCCTCCAAGGTGCCCAAGCCCCTGTACGTTACGTACACTGGCTACACACCATGCTCACCCTAGCCCAACTGTGACAACTAGGCTAGCATGTACAACCTAAAAATGAAAACTACCTCAGCTCTTTGCAAGGAATGTATTTAAATGAGCTCCCTGCCTCTTCTCACACCACTGTTCACTAGCTTAGTGTCCTCTCTGTTCCAAATTCAGTTGTACTTGAGAATCCTCCTTCCTCCCCAATCTAAAATAAATGAAAATCCAGGATGTCTGAGGGAATTTACCAGTGGATGGTTGTTTTTTTACTTACCCAGATTACTTGCCTAATACGAGGAGTGGTGACTCTTGCTATTTCTTCCTCTGCACACTGATTTCTATTTGGGTTTATGGAAAACCTTAAGTTTGGACCCTTGTTTCCCCTCCCTAATTGAGCGTTGCTTTGACTCCTCTAATATTTCCTTCATGACTGACTGACATTTATCAGGAAGCTAGGTAAGAATCTGCCTGCCATCTCCATCCCCATCTAGCCTCTTGGGCCTTAGCCATAATCCCCATCTGCATATTCAATTTTCCCTGGAGCCATATTTTTCCAGCAGCAGTGCTAAAACCACAACCTGCATTATCATATCAGAGGGAAATCCTTATTGAAAAAGGAGCAGCCTTTGGGTTTACATAGCTTGGGAGGCTCAGGAAGCTTTAGTGGGTCAGCAATCACGAACAATTTTAGGCTGAAGAGAGCTGTTAGATGAGAGAAAAGTTTGGCAAACTAACTATTATTTAAATCATCTTTTGAGATTTTGTTCCCGTTCTAAGACCATTGCTCTGATTTGGGTATCTTGAAACAAAACCAAAGAGTTGTCATGTAACAACTGCAAAAAAGTGTATGCAAGATCATCCCCTATTCATAGGTCTTTTGACAGACTAAAATGGTTCTAAAATTGTCTGTAGACCTTAAATGGTCACTTCCAGATGGTTCACAATGGTGAAGCCTCTGTCAGACTTCAAGCAGTAATGGTTCATGCTAGGTATAGCTTAATGCAGGACTCTTCGTGCTTATGGAGGTGTTCTGAATGGCTGAACTTAAACACCCATGCACCTCTGCGTCCTGCAGAGATTCACGTTTTCTTGCGTGGAAGCTTATTTGTAAATTTAGAATGGGGGATGTTACTAATAAATGTAAAATTCTACCCCCCGGGAGAGGAAATGAACAGTAGAGTTACACAGCTGGGGAGGTGGTGGGTTTATAGGTCTCTCACTAGAGCAGTACTAGCCCAAAAAGGTCCTGCCCCTCAAGAGCTGCAGAGAATGCTCCAAATGGAGGATCTGCTTAAAAGGGGACTCTTGCAGTCAAGCAGGGGCAGAGTTAAGAGGCTGCCTGCAGGAAGGAAGCCAGTTCCTCTTTAGCCAATTTCTCTTCTGGGACAAAGGAATCCACAGGGGAAGGCTTGGACTGTCGGTAAGGCCCAAGAGGCGAGACCTTTTCCCCCTTTCTCCCCCCCCCCTCCCCACCGACCAAGGGGAATCCTTGGACATTGGGAAGAGAGTTGGGAAACCCCTACTGATTATATGAATAACTGACTGTTTGCTTCCCTCCCAATGGAAAGTTGCTCAGAGTGCTGTGACCTCACCCCAAACTGAGGAGAGAATAGGGGAAGTAGGAAATACCCCAGACCAGCTTCCCCTGGACCATCTCCCTAGAGGGGACTGAGATACTCCTCATGTATTCCCACTTGGGCCTGAACTTGGTGGAGAGGGAGGGCCCAGGTCCTTGTCCCCTGCCTTCCTCCCCTGGTCTGACTGGGGAAACCTGAAGAAGGATGGGCTGTAACTTGGCTGCCAGTCCCTGGGATTGCCCAGCAAGGCCCCACAAGGACTTTGTGTGCTGTTGAGCCGTGGCCTACCCTCTAGGCATGTTGGCTCCTAAGTGAACCTACTACAGGGGGACAATATGCTCTGCACCTCTGCAATAAACTTTATTTTGTGTTGTCTCATAATATTGTCCTATTATATTGTTTGATTACAAGATGATGTATTGCTTCAAGAAAAGGATGGGAGAGGATATGACCGCACAAGACTTAATGTGGTGTTAGAACTTCTTAATTACGAAATAGCATTTACTCTACCCAGTTCTTTTCAACTGAGGGCCACAATGACAGCACAGTGCATCAGTTGAGAATTGCCTCTACCTCCATGTCACGCTAATTAGTTCCAAACTAAGGGCCTGATCCTGTGATGTGCTGATCTAGTTTGGTTGATATCGGTGGGAGATAAGGACACTCAGTATCCTGCAGGAATGGGTTGTATAAAAGGACTCTTGCCTTAAATTTAAATCTGGAAGAGAGAAGGAAACACAGCCTACCCTTAGAACACCCAGATTCATAATTCATGCACTGTATAAGTCTGAGAATGATCCAAGCTAGACAGTTTGCATTAAGGTCATGTGTGTGAAAGGACAAACGAATAACACTCAAATGATTAATATGGTTTCATATTGCGGTTAACACAAATGGCTTGAATGCATACAAACCAATTATATGCACTATACACATTATAAAGATGACATGCTAAAAAAGGCTAAATAAATCTAGTTGTGCTATATAAGAGCACAGTCCTGTTGCCATAGCTCATGGGGGTAGTCCGACTGGGAGTCCTTCAGTGGGATGACGATTGGTGAGCAAGAACTATCGGACTAGGCCATAATAAAGTAGTTGCATGTAAAAGCATGTTTCCTTGTCAAAATCTGACAAGACCAGATATCTGGGCAAAACCCCCTCTCATCTCCCCCAAAATAAAAAACACTTTTTGCTATTTTATAAATCAGAAAAAAAATGTAGATTTTCTTTTACATGGATGGATTTAAGGCCCAATTTTGCCATTCTTCCATGTGTTTTACTCTGCAAATATTTCAGTGGGACTTTTCATGGAAAAAGGGCTTGCCCATCTATAGTAAGACTAGCAGAATCAGGCCTCTAACCATTCCCAAAAAGGAGCTTTTGTTTAAGCTCACAATATTCATCAGTTCATCTTTGAATTAAAGAGTTTAAGCAAGAGTTACTGTGGCTTAATCTTGACACAGGCCAGATTGTATTTTAGGGAAGCTATCTTATAGGCTGTTCCATCAGAACACTGTCTCAAACTGGTAATAGCTTCCAGGTTGTATAAATTTGACAGTAGCAAAACTCTGTTTGTTTAAACAAGGCAGTTTATTTGGGTATTCAGGAAGATGCTTAAAACTCTGCCTTCTATAATCATGAAGCCAAAGCACTTCTAGTTGCTTTTAGACTAACTAGCTAAACTAGATCAGTTGAAAGCCATTATATGTACCATTTTATATAACATTTGGATTTTAAGAATGTTTTGAAAGCAAGAAAAATTAAGTTATTTCTCTACACACTAAAGATAAGAAAATGCAGATTCATAGAGCCCTTAAGTTCTGAATGCAGTAGGACGTTCTATATGCTTAGAATAAATATTACGTACAAAAAAGAAGTACTATACCTCAGGATCTTCAACAAGAGTCACAACTCTTCCAGGCTAAAATGAAAATAAATATTGCTAGTTCAGTGAAAAGCTTTTTTTGTCAAATCATTAGCAAAAGTGAACAGTTTTTTTTAAAATAGAGAATCAAGCAAAGAGTCTCATTGAAGTCTATCCCTTTAGATGATTGGGGCTCTAGCATGTGTATGTGTACGCACACACACACACACACACTGAAGTGATCTGTATTAGAAAACAATATGGGAGTTAATTGGTGGTAAATAAAACTTTAGCTTTTAAGTGGAGGTGGTAGGAACACAGAAATAAAGTTAAGGTTAGTGTAGACAAACAATTTTGAGCTCCTTACTTTTGAGTGTACTGTGTAGAGCAACTCCTGCTGCCATTTAGAAGACAATGGCAATCTTGACTTCACTGATGTAGAATTACGCCCTTACTGCTTTTCCAAAAAATTGTGTATGTAAGACATTTTCAGCTTCTTAGATTTTAGTCTGAATTTATATATATTGCCAGCTCAAGTCTGTGAGAAACTAATAAATAATTCCTTTCCCATACGTCAATTTTCAATAAGGGTTTATGCCAAAAAATTACTTAACTGTGGTATAAAGAATTAAATGAACTGGTTTATGAAAATTTTCTATTGTTGATTTTTGCTTGTTTTTAATCATCTTACCATTTTCCAGCAACAAACAAACAAAAACAAAAAACCAACCAAGCATGTCCCAATAAGAACACGTTCTGGGTACATGAGATTGCAATGAAGTACATACCCTTGCTGAAATCACTCACTACTGCCTCATAATGGATTTAATGCATGTTTGTGTTTTTGTTAATCACATCCTGTTTTCTAACATTTTCAGATTTTTCACTTGCATTTGCCCCTTCAGTTACCAAACAGTCCAGGGGAAAAGACACAAAATAAGTTAAAACTTTAAATTCAATGGTAGACTATAAAGATGAAGAGTGAGTTTCTGATATTCCCAGTAAGCGTGAATGATGGGGCCAAATTCTACATTCACTTAAATACTTGTCATTCCTGCTGATGTTCATGGGAGCTGTGACATACATCTGAAAGCAGATTTTGGCCTTAATGGTTTATAATACCAGAGGAGCTCTTATCTAGGGAGAGGATAAGGATAACCAATCCCTACTGGAGTTTTTGCATTAACATCAGTTTAAGACATTATACCTAAACTCCAGCCTTTATCTGACAGTGCCTCTCTTTGGAGGGTGCAGGTTTTTAGGCAGACACATCTTTATTGCATTGAAGTCAATGGGGAGTCACACGTCCATCTAGGAGTAGAGTTTTTGTTGTAAGTTGGCCCTAAAATAAAATTTAACTCAACAGGGATGAGCTCTGACCTGTTCTTCTGAGTGAATATTGTGAAAGGGGGGAAAACATGAATTCTTATAGAGAACATTAGTAGAACTGAAAAGTATATAACTTTGCTCCTGTACCAGAACATTTACATATAATATAGTGCTCAGACTTTGAACATGTAAAGAGCCTAGCAAGTCCTTGATTCTCACTCAGAAAATGTTGATGTTACTTTTTATGTGTACTGTAATATCTCAACTCTGATTGCTTTGCTTTCTGTTCTGGGGAAGACTGTTTAATTTACTGTATTTTTTTAGTCTGCAGAAGAGAAGAATGAGGGGGATTTGATAGCTGCTTTCAACTACCTGAAAGGGGGTTCCAAAGAGGATGGCTCTAGACTGTTCTCAATGGTAGCAGATGACAGAACGAGGAGTAATGGTCTCAAGTTGCAGTGGGGGAGGTTTAGATTGGATATTAGGAAAAACTTTTTCACTATGAGGGTGGTGAAACACTGGAATGTGTTACCTAGGGAGGTGGTAGAATCTCCTTCCTTAGAGGTTTTTAAGGTCAGGCTTGACAAAGCCCTGGCTGGGATGATTTAACTGGGAATTAGTCCTGCTTTGAGCAGGGGGTTGGACTAGATGACCTTCTGGGGTCCCTTCCAACCCTGATATTCTATGATTCTATGAATACTGTAGTACTAAAAAGCTGTTCCCATTTAACACCATCACACTCTGGAGTTAGACAAAAGCAAGAAACAAACAATAATAACAAAGTCCATCAGGCCCATTCGTTCCTTCCTCCTAGTTTGACTTTCTTTTTGGCAATGTGCCATGTGACTCTTTTTTACAATATTCATTAGTCGCATTCACTTCTGCTTCAATCCATTACTTTCACATATTTGAATCTTTTGGGTAACCTAGTCCAAACGTTGGGCTTTCCTTTTTCTCTCATCTAAGTATATCCGCCAGTAGTCCACTTCTACTATGATGATTGAGAACCTCAAAAATCTCTTCTACTTCAGGTCCTCATTCAAAGTGTTTAATACTCAAAGTTGTGTCGATGCTTCAGTTTGGTAGCAGTGAATGCTTTCTATCCAAACAAACAGAAGCTAGACTTCTCAGTATTATTGTCATTTTCTCTTCTTGTTTGTCTAGTGGATCAAGTTTTCCATTACTTCTGAAATCTCAGGAATAGAGGACTTTCATTAAGGGTGTCACTAAACAATAGTTCATCAATGAGTGGTAGCTGATTTCAGTGATATGTAATGGTAGCCCCAGTAAAATAACAAAAGGATATTTGACTAGCATATCTTTTATTTGTTGAGTTTCTTCTGTCAATATTTTTTGAATGAGTGGGCACCCCAGATATTGGAGGTGGGGAAACCTACTTCCCTGCCCCCATGTCAGTGGAGGTATTAGATATATTTTTATTTTCACTATTTTAAGATGCAGCTGATACAAATAAAAAACCCACATCAGGTTTTGTATTAAAGAACAAGTAAGTTATGTTGTACAAATAGTCTTACAAAAATATTTTCTATTATTTCTCCTGAGTTCTGCTGTCTGCCTTTCTCTCTCATTCTTTTCCTAAAAGTATACTTGTGTACAGGGTCTGTTACATTTAAAATTCTGTCTGTATGAGAGCTTATTTTTCTAGGTCATACTTTTCCCAAAGCTGAGTTTAGGTTTTGTGCATTTTCTTTAGGCCTATTCAATCTGAGAATGCTGAACTATGTATTTTAATCTGCAAATATTGAAAAAATGGTAGAGGACTGTTATACAAAAATTAAAAACAAATGTAATTCAAAATCTATATATTTTGTATATCTTCAAAAGCTGAGAGTTTTTTAAAATCTACTCCTCTCATATTTTTTTAAACTCCCTATTCTTGAGTTCAGATTATAAATTTCTCTGTGTAGGATTATAAGAGACAGTAAAGAGCTAAATTCCCTGTATGTTTTATTCTAAATTTTTAACTTTTACTAACCCCAGGTGGGTAGATGGACTTTGGGATACATAACTGTGGCCAGATGTCTCTTAGATTCTGGACATTCTACTGTTTTCAATACAGTGTTTTCGTACTTCTTGGTGGTCAATCTGTAACAGTTTTATGCTCATGTGTCCCAGTAATGTGAAGGCCAGATTCTGCCACTCACTCGCTCTATGGAGTGCCTTAGGTCTCTTGTAGGAATCGCAAGGACTTCTGAAGGTATAACGCACTATTCAACATGAGTAAGAGTGGAAGAATCTGTCCCATTGTTCAGCAATTTCTGATTTAGCAAAAGTGTATAAGCGAACAGATTAAGATCTTTACTTGCTAGTTGAATAAAGAAAATTGGCCTATGTGATGGGCATGCTACTGGTTCCCTTCCAAGCTTGGGAATGACAGCTATTGCATACTTTCATACAGAGGGATGTTTTTAACTACCCTTTTAATGCCACATTAAACACACGAGGGGGCCTATCAATTTCTTTAAAATGCATATTAACAATCTGTATGAACCCAAGGTTTGCCATTTTTCATATAGGTATGACTATATAAGACTTTTTTTCTCTGAGGGATTGTTCATATGTCTGTCTAAAAATAATTCTGGAAGTTTTGCTTTATTCATATGTATTTAAAAAAAATTGGGTTTTCTGTTATGTAAACTGTTTGTTTTTTTTTTAAATAACTGGTAGATTAAATTTTGGATGGGAAACAGTTAGCTCTTCTGTATTCCTAACTGTATCTAGGTGCATCCGATGAAGTGAGCTGTAGCTCATGAAAGCTTATGCTCAAATAAATTTGTTAGTCTCTAAGGTACCACAAGTCCTCCTTTTCTTTTGCAAATACAGACTAACACGGCTGCTATTCTGAAACCTATATCTAGTTTGTATTCTTTTCCCTTTTTTCCTATCCAACAGCTTATCTCATTTCCTTTTTTTGTATAACTGAGTGATCACATGTTTCAGCACCTCAGTTTCCATATATGTTGCTTTGTGGATCTATCAAGATAGACAAATAGCAAACTGGAACCTCTTCTTTAGTCCATGCAGTAGTGCTTTGAGTATGTCAGTTTATTAAGCTTTGGCAGAGAAGCATAAATGGAAACAGGTACTAAAATGCATGCCCACTCATCCTGATGCGTACTCTTCAGATAGGAAAGTGATGGCAGAGGAATGAGTTTATCTACAGGAGGTGCAGCTGACCGCATTAAATATTTACTCCCTATATTGATGTAAACAATCATCAGTCAGAAATAAGGAAGTTACAGTAGAAGCTGTTATCTGGCCCTGTACCAACCAGAAAACTCTATAAACCAGCATTTCTAATCATCATAGGAAGTCTGGTTTATAGTCCAGTTGGCATCGGGCCGGCAAGCTCCCTACCTGGTTCCATGTGGCTTCCCGGAAGCAGTGACATGTCCCTGCTGCTCCTAGGCAGAGGAATGGCCACAAGGGGTTCAGAGTGTGGGAGGAGGCTTGGGGCAGAGGGTTAGGGGACTCGGGGTGCCAGATCCAGGGGGTGCTCACCTCGGGCGGCTTCCTGCAAGCGGCAATGTGCCCTGGCTGCTCGAAGGCGGAGGTGCAGCAGGAGGCTCTGCGCACTACCTCTGCCCGCAGGCGCCGCCTCTGCAGCTCCCATTTATCCCGAGCCCCCTCCTGCACCCAAATTCCCTCCTTCTTTGTTAACTGGCATTTTTCACTTACTGGCACCCCAGTTCCCCCAACATGATGGA